ACAGACAAACAGAAAAAGCACAAACCAAACGGTACACTCGGTGGACTCTTCGTTTAAGCTTCTCGTCTCCTAGCGCTCGCGCGTTCCACGCCCACCCTTACGTTCGAAATCGGTGTGCCGTGTACGCGAGCATGTGACCATGCGTGCCGATGTGTGCTCGCTCTATAAATAAATAAGCGACGGACATCTTGTTGCGAGTTCTCTCTCTCTCTCTCTCTCACACACACACACATCTTTCCAACAACGTACTCGCTCATACGCTTCAACAAATACCTGACACGAGTAAGTAGGTACTCTGTCGATCTTTCAATCCCTCGCTTTCAATTCGTGAAAATCGTGAAAATTCGGCGAGCAAGCACAGACATACATACATACATACATACATACAGACAGACAGACAGACAGACAGACAGACAGACACACGCAGGAAGAAAACAGGCGAGTTGGAGTTCGCGCAAGGGTGAACTTTGACGCAGAGTTCGGGAGAGATATTTCGGTGGGACGAACGTCGTTTGTTATAGACGACGGTTGAGGTATTATGACGTCAGCAACAAATTCTGTCGCTATTTTTAATAATTCTTGGAAAGGTGGACAAGGGTAGCCCGAGGAGTGGGGATCGCGTGTGTTTATTCGCGTTGCGCGATTATAATTAATGCTGATTTACGCCAACTGCAAGACACATACTACGAGTTCTATCACACTGGGAGGGGATGGACAATCTGTTGCCAAAGTGTTTCGAATAATTAGAATAAGCGTTTTGAATAATTCATTCCTGATTACGAATGTGCTGTTGACTTTTTTCTAGATTTGACTCTGGTCTTCGAGCAAACGTGTATGCCCTAAATATTCATAAAAGGAATAAAATCAATGTAATATATATATGTATATATATAAAAAGGACATAACCATATAATTTTTATTCATTATTATAGCGTGTAACTGTTTTAAAAATGGGAGTTCTATGTTTGCAATTCTTTTTGTCTCATTGTCTTTTCTTCCCTTTCAATTTTTTTAGTTTTGTTCTCTCGTGTGCAAAATAACTTTTTCTTTCTTTTAGAACAGTGTATTTGTCACAAATTTAACAGAAAATGACAGGACACACTGTTGTTGCAAAATACTCATTTTCGAGATGAAAAATGCTCGTATATTTACACAAATGAGGCCACCAGTCAAACTAATGAAACGAGTTATTTTTTTAGAGGAGTCCTTTTCTTTCTCTTTGCCCTCGGAAACATTTTTTGCACATCTATCAGCAATTCATTTACGAATATCACTTCGAATAAAATGACACAACATTGGAAATAATCATCCGGTTTAAATGGTATTTAGCATGAAATTTTGTTGATATTTCTCTAATACACGACTTCGTTCAGAGCAATCACCAAGTTAATGACACATAATTTCAATCTCCTGAAAAATTTCCTTCACTCTCATTTTATAAACTTTCGTAAGAAGCAATGAAAAGTATAGTTTGCGTGAATTATCTGCCTCGGTCCTCAAGAATTTCTTCTTTTGAAATTTTATCATTCCCCTTACGTATTATATTTGTATTATATTATAGTTATAATCATACAAACACAATGCCTACGTTCATTGTAATTGTCAGTGATAATAAAAAATAATCTTAGCTGTTAGCTAAGCACGATGTCCCTTTACAGTCGAGAGCAGAGAATCAACTTTCAAACTTCCAACGAGATATCGTTCGAAAAATACGTTCCTCGCAAAACGAGAAGCTTTCAAGAAGCTTCTCGGAAAAGTCTGTAAAACGGTCGTCCTTGAATCGTCGCGTCGTGCCGCCGCGAAAATTTGCTTGCGCATCGCTCATGGATCACATGGTGTCAACAGAACAACTATTATTGTTCCAAGAGCGAGCGTATCTATTGGTGTCTGCTAAAGTTTCTGCGTCCCACACACGCACCTGTCGGATGGTAGGACTAATTTTGCCTCGGGTCCTCCTCGTTCGCGTGTCGCAATCGATTCTCGATTCTCGTCTCGTCAAATAAAAGCCAACTTGGAGTTAAAACCCCTTGACGAATTAACCTCTTGCGCTGGAATGACGTGCCACGCAGAATATTTAGCCTGAAATTGCAATAATTTCTCAGTTTTCAATATATTGACGTACAAGGCAAAACAAATAATAAATTTGTTGCTTCTCAATAATTTCTATCCAGTGATAGATACCGACAAGTTCAAAAGGAAAGCAATGAATTATTGGGTACGGTTTGGTCACTCGTTATGGTCCGCAGTCAGTTACCAGCTTAAGTGGTTAACCTCTTGTGCTGGAATGACGTGCCACGCACGTCGAGAATCTTTTGTCCAAAATTGCAATTATTCTCAGTTTAGTATATTAAAGTATAACCTAGGCAAAACAAATAATAAATTTGTTGCTTCTCAATAATTTCTATCCAGTGATAGATACCGACAAGTTCAAAAGGAAAGCAGTGAATTATTGGGTACGGTTTGGTCACTCGTTATGGTCGCCCGCGAATCCGTTCCTAGCGCAAGAAGTTGAATGAAACTCGTCGCGACAACAAAATGACATTTATCCTTCGTTTTTAACATTTGCGCAAACTTACGCAAGACAAAGATAAGTTTCTCACTTAATATTATTGTAATTATATTTATAATAAATACTCTCATGTCACAAGTTTTTAAAAGATGAAAAATGTGCCTACCTGCGAGACGTCCTTGTACGTCGATTTTTGGTTAGGAAACGCATGACGTTATTTATATGTCCAGAGGCTAAATCGTGATGAAAAATTTCCTTACATCGTGACATAGTCTCTCGACAAGATACAATATGTATCTTGAAGTTGCGAAATGAGGAGAAACAACGCTCAATGTTGAAGATGGTTCCTCCTTCAACCCAGGCAGGATTTTAACACGACTTAACCGAAATAGACGGAGCGTTTAAAATCACACGCGTTTCCCTGTTCAGCCGGATAAATTCTGCGAGCGAGCGAAAAACAACACGATGCTCGTGTATTCGATATGTCCAATACTTGTTCCTTAACCTTGAATCCACCGCTCCATCCAATTTCCCAATTTTTCTCCTCTTCGAATTTTGCCAGTCGACCTTCGTTTCGAACAAATTCCGTGGTCAGCCGTGAAAGATGGGTTATCGGTGGTGCGGTGGACACCGACGTAAGGTTGACTCGCAATTAAAAATAACCCGGAGAGTGAACGTATATGTACGTTCGTTAACGTCTATTTATAAGCGGTGTGGTTACGGTTTAGGTTAGGTTCGTCGGTTTTTCAACGTTGACCGAGGGTGTCGCGACGATTGCGAAACGTTTTTCCGAATTTCCATTCCGCGCGGAAGGAATCCATCCTTCTCTCTCTCACTATCTCTCACTCACTCACTCACTCTCTCTCTCTCTTCTCTCGTCACGACGCGCCACAGACGCACACTATCTGTCTCCGTCTCTTTCGAGAAGTCGAACACACGTTCCGGGCTCTCGTGTATTTCGGTGATATGTTGCGCAATGAGATTTGCGTAAGGTGCCGCGATATAAAACACCGTGCGACAGCGAAGGTGAGATGGGATGCATCGCTCTCGCAATTATTGCAGAAAATCCGAGCCTAGGGGGGGTCCCCGAGTTCGTCGATTCCCCCTCGACGACGAAACGGTTTTACGACGGCGAAATTTCGAAAGAGACTCGATCAGGGACGAACGAAAATAAGAGGTCAGAGGGAAAACACGAAAAATTTCGAATATTTACGAAATTTTCATGTTGCGTACTAACGTATCGATATTTCATTGAATTTAGTTTAATTCTTTCCACAAGATGGCGTATACATCTTATCCCATAGTGGAGGTTTGATAAATATATTGTGAGAATTAAAAAGAGACCACAACTACCATTTATTTTAATTTATGTGACCGTTTGCTCTGCTCGTTTCTCAACAACTGAAATTATAATATATTTTCCGCTATTTTATTTTCTTCTTTCGTCTTTTCTAATCGACAGTTGCCGATGTTGAATTTAAACGTTTCAAAAATGCGCGCGTCGCCACAATATGTCTTCTTGCAATTAGTAACCAATAACATTCTTGATGAGGGTCAGCCCTAACCTGAAACGTCAAAGTAAATGCTGTTGCTAGTTGTCTGCAGACAGAAACTAAGGAAACCCTCTTGCGCAATCATCATTATTTTTCTTCTACCGGTGTCTGTTAAACAAGAAAAAGCGTGTATAATAGCATAATTGGTTTGTATATCAATAATACCTTGACTGCATTTTAACAATCATTTTGTTACCATTTTCATGTGACGTAACTTTGTGATTTTTTTTCGAGTAAACAGTGAGCTATGAACGGTAGGATTCAGTATATTTTATAACACTTGTGTTTTCTTTACTTTTTAGTTTTATATGTGAATACGAAATCATAGAAACACAAAAGAGCGATAAGAGTAAGAAGTATTAGCGGTAATATATCCGAAGATTCTTTGTCAGGACTTGGACGAATTCAATAGTGTTTCCACGACGACGCATAAATATTATTGACAGCAATGAATTTAATGGGTGCAAAGGGGTTCCAAAGATAAAATATGTTCAAAATGCAATGCACAGCACAAACTATTTTATGGAATTCTATACTAGTGCAAACGTAATGGCCCTTGGTTTGTATATCAATAATATCTTATTTATTTGCATTTCAAGAATCATCTTGTCACGTATTTTCATATGACATAACTTTGTAATTTTTCTAAATCACAGTGAGCTATAACGGTCACAAACATTGCAAGCCTCTGTTACTTCAAAGTTGCAGTCTTCATCTAAAATCATTGAAAACTGTTGAATTCATTGTCAATCTCGTTGACTTTACTACGTTACATAAATTTCTTTCACAGTTATGAGAAAAAAGTTCGGCCAGAATAAATCGTTCGCGGAAACTGAAGGATATGAAATATCAATGAAAAATCTCGCCGAAAAATTCTCTTCTGAAAGTAAACGAGAAGAAAGGAAACTAACTTGAAAATTGCCCTTCGATTGTTACAGAGGTCCTAAACGGCATCTGCAACGCGAGCAAGGAGGAAGAGAGGCGGCGAAAAGGTAAACGTAAAACCAAAAGTTTTTGCCCTAGAACTAGCGCGTTCCCGCGAGTTCTTCGCGCGTTGATCAAAAGTTGAACGAACGTGCGACGCTTTGTTCATGGTCGGCTGGGTTCTGTTCCCAGGTGCAGGCTACCACGAACTATATAACGGCGTTGTCTGCAATGACACGATCCTAGCGACAGGTGTCTTCAGCTCGAAGGAGCTCTGGATGCTTTCAAAAGGTACGACCGTAAGACATCCTCTCTCTCTCTCTCTCTCTCTCTCTTTTTTTCTCTTTCTCTCTCCATCCACTCTTATATAATATAATACTGCATGCAGACTCGCTCTTTTCTTTTTTCGAGAGCCGGGGATCTCTGGGATATCGAAAGCCGCTCCGATCGCCCCGCGAAACGATACCAACGATCGTTCGAGACGACAAAATGTCTGTCCAACTCGAGTCCAACGGGACCGTGGTCTCACGGATGCTTTCGAAAGGTGATCGACGAGTCCGGACACGTGGGAAAGCCTTTTGAAAGCATCCTTTCTCGACGGGGGGGGGGGGGGGGGGAGGGCCAGGAAGGAATTCGCTCCACGATTCTCGCGCCAGTTCATCGCCAGGAACACTGTTGTCGTTTCAGCGGGGATCGTACCAATTTCCGCGTGCTCCGCTGTTAGTGTAACTCGATCAGAAGGGTACTGTGCTCGCGGCAGAACGCCACTTGTTAAACAACTGGACGCCGCCACCCTCGGCAACCGCGTCGCAGCCGGGCTCAAGTAAATTTAGAAGCTAATCCGCCGACTTTTTTCACACCGTCCAAGGTTGCCTCGTCGATTCCTCTGCTCGCGTTGGGCTATGCACTGGAGGAAAAGGAAGGATATGTACTGGAGGGCGACCATAGGTAGGGTCAAGGTTGTCAACGACCCCGTTCGTCAATAGAGCGAAACCGAGTGTTATTGCCCGACATTGTCTGCCAATTTCCGTCACGAGCGCCGTACAAAAGCTGCCAGTCTCTCTCTCACTCTCTCTCTCTCTCTCTCTATAGGCTCCTGCGCTATTAGTCACTGATAACCGCGCGGCCAAGTTTCTCTCGAACCCTCGTACTCTGGCGAGGGGAAATGGAACTTTGAACGAGATAGAGCGAAACCGAGACTGTTCGAGTCCAACTCTCCAAGACCAAAGTTTCGATCCGAAATCTTGGGTCTTTCTTGACCTAGAAGAACGTGGACGATGGAAGGGAGCGATGGATGCGTACGAATGGGGTTTTCATCGAGTCCTCGTCGAAGGGAGCAACGCGGCACGCGCGCCTCGCCACTAAATGGAATAATAGGGCAGGGGAGCGCGTATTGAGAAGCGGCGCGAGCCTCGAAACGCCTCTACGTATGCATCTCTACGCTCCTCCACTCTTCTCCTCCGCCTCTTGGTCTTCTCTCTTTCTCTCTCTCTCTCTCTCTCTCTCTGTCTCTCCCCTTGCCCGCGCCGCCCCTCGCGTCACTGTGGCAGGAGATTAGTATGCAACCCGGTGTATTAATAGACGGGGAACAATGCTCACGGCCTCAGAGGCTGCTGAGAGAGCTTCGCTGCCTCTCTATCTCTTGCCTCTGCCCCCCCCCCTCCACTCTCCCTCCCCCTCCTGTCCTCGTCTCATCTCTCGCCAGATCAGCCAGCAGCTCCCTTCTTCTGTCGATCTTTGCAACTCGATCGAACTCACCTTTTCTTCCTTTTTTTTTTCACCACACGCCTTTGGCTCTCTTTCTCTCTCTCTCTCTCTCTCTCTCTCTCTTTCTCTTGAGAATCTGATTGATTTCGTTTCGATCGGATTTTTTCCACTCTTTGACTCGCGGATCGTGCACTTTATCTCGCAAACACTGGAGATAGTTCAACACGATAGTTCCGTAGTGCGATAGTGAACTTTAAATTACTTGGAATCGTCATTGTGAAAAACGTGGAATTTTCGAAAAATTTATCCCATTGTTATTTACATCATGTATCTTCCTGTGAGTGTGTGACAAGATCATTCTTTCCGACTGTTAAGGCCAACGGAAATTCGAATTCGATAAGAAATTCGCTGTAAAACTTGTCGAAGTAACATTTGTTCAAAAGTTTGGTTCACAATTGGCAGAGAATTTTGCGATGGTTGTTCCGGTAGGCCGCATTTTTCAACAAAGTTCATCAAGGTATATATATATATATATATCTTTGTGATTGCGAGCAGATTATTATTATTTAATATTATTTATTAGTATTTAGTATTATATAATTTATATATAATAAATTATATTTAATATTAAATTATTATTATTTAATATTATTTATTAGTATTTAGTATTATATAATTTATATATAATAAATTATATTTAATATTAAATTATTATTATTTAATATTATTTATTAGTATTTAGTATTATATAATTTATATATAATAAATTATATTTAATATTAAATTATTATTATTTAATATTATTTATTAGTATTTAGTATTATATAATTTATATATGATAAATTGTATATAATTTTATAATCATATATATGCAAACAATAGTACTGAAAATATTCGGGATAAAATGTTTTATATTAAATTAATTTCAACATCGTTGAAAGATATTGTGTTGAAGCATGCGACTCGCGCGGTGGAACAAATGTTCAACCATGCGTTTGTTCAAATAATTGAAAATTAACCTTGAAAGTGGAAAATTCAGTTTGTTAAAATAATTGAAAATTGACCTTGAAAGTGGAAAATTCAGTTTGTTAAAATAATTGAAAATTAACTTTGAAAGTGGAAAATTTAGTTTGTTAAAATGGTTGAAAATTAACCTTGAAAGTGGAAAATTTAGTTTGTTAAAATAAAATTAAAAATTAATCTTGAAAGTGGAAAATTTAGTTTGTTGAAATAATTGAAAATTAACCTCGAAAGTGGAAAATTTAGTTTGTTAAAATAATTGAAAATTAACCTCGAAAGTGGAAAGTTTGTTGAAATAATTGAAAATTAACCTTGAAAGTGGAAAGTTTGTGGAAATAATTGAAAATTAACCTTGAAATTTAATCTACTGCCTCGCTCCGTAATGCATCTTAAACTCTGCTAACACTTTTCTTATCATAATCACAGTTTCTCCGCCATTATAGAAACTACAAGACATACTTCAGCAGTACCAAAACTATCGTAATAGCGTGGGGCCTAAACGGAGAGTGATCAGAAATCGAGCGTGTTTACAATGGTTGAATCTTTAAAGGACTCTTTCTACGCCTTGACTTTTCAGCCACTTTAGAAACGGAAACGTTTTTCCAATCGAAGGGAAGAGTAATAGAGATTTACTAGCGGCTCTCTGCCGCAGCTTCCGCCGCAAATCCCACGGAAGAGGGTTCTTCAAAACCTCGCCTCGACAAAAGACGCGGAGTCCAAAGACTCCGAGCGTGAGCGGCTCGTGAATCATCTCTCCTCCCCCTCTGTTCGATCATCGTTCGGCCAGTCAATCTCAATATCGCGTCAGCCGAGGACACAGTCCGGACGGTTAACCGTCCGACAATACTCGGCCTAGCTGGAGGAATTTTCCTCGTTTTATTTTTTTCTTCCTTTTTTTTTTTATTTTTTCAAAGTTCAACCAAGCCTGGACCAGTCCGTGGAAAAAGCGGTGGAATCAACGGTCGAGGGGGAAAAGAGAGAGAGAGAGAGAGAGAGAGAGAGAGAGAGAGAGAGAGAGAGAAGGAAAAAGAGAAAAAAAGGAACGGTGAATCAGTGTCGCCGACGCCGTGCGCGATTTTCGACGAATTTTTTTCCAACCCTCGGATACGTCACCGGGATTTTTCGTCAACAATGCGCCCCGCATACACAGACGCCGGCCCGCGCTGCAAACAGAAACGTGCACGTGCACGGCGAAAAAATGGTAGGCCCGCAGGGGGGCCAGTATTTTCCAGGCATCTCCTTTTTGTTTCTCCTCTCTCACCGATGTGAGAGCCGCAGCACGTACGTTGGATAAAAAGGGGCGCAATTTCCACGAGGGGGCGGAAGGGGGGGGGGAGGGTGTGTGGAGGCCTGCCTCGGCTGATGTGAAATAGAGAAGAATATCCTGTCGGCGACGACGTGCAAGATGGGACGTAATGGAAACTCTCCCCCCCCCCCTCCCCCATCACAGGAGGGGGGAGGTGGCTTGGTTTTCGATTCGGCGAAATTTCGGTGGTTCGAGGCGTGGCTAAATCCGCGAAGACTAGGATCTGGCGGGAATTTTCCAATTGCCCGATGTTCTTCGGAGAAGAATCCGTGGATCAGACGAAAAATTGGTGGTAGAGCGTAATGCGACTGAAATTGAAAGTGAAATACAGTAGGACCCCCTATAAACTGTAACTAAATATTGTATGCTACAGTAAACTATACCGTACTAAATACTACACAATACTAAACTATACCGTACTAAATACTAGACAATACTATACCGTACTAAATACTACACAATACTGAACTATACCATACTAAATACTACACAATATTGAACTATACCATACTAAATACTACACAATATTGAACTATACCGTACTAAATACTACACAATATTAAACTATACCGTACTAAATACTAGATAATAATAAACTATACCGTACTAAACACTACACAATACTAAACTATACCGTACTAAATACTACACAATACTGAACACTACACTGTACTGAACTATACCGTACTAAACACTACACTATACTGAATTATACCGTACTAAGTTCTACACAATACTAAACTATACCGTACTAAATACTACACAATACTAAACTATACCGTACTAAATACTAAACTATACTAAACTAAATACTAAACTATACTAAACTATACTAGACAATACTGAACTATACCGTACTAAACTATACTAGACAATACTAAACTATACCGTACTAAACTATACTAGACAATACTAAACTATACCGTACTAAACTATACTAGACAATACTAAACTATACCGTACTAAACTATACTAGACAATACTAAACTATACCGTACTAAACTATACTAGACAATACTAAACTATACCGTACTAAACTATACTAGACAATACTAAACTATACCGTACTAAATACTAAACTATACTAGATAATACTAAACTATACCGTACTAAATACTTCTCAATACTGAACTATACCGTACTAATACTACATAATACTAAACTATACCGTACTAAACACTACACAATACTATACCATACTAAATACTACACAATAGTAAACTACCATATTAAATACTATACTATACTAAACTAGACCATATTATACTACACTAAATACTAATATTATACTATACTAAATACTATAAAATATAATTAAATAAATAGACTTTTTCTCTGTCTCATTAAATAAGTATTCAAAGGAATATTCTTCCTATTGCAATCTTCTATCCGTATAATTAAACAAGTTTCTGTTTTTTCATTAATAAAAGGTCTTCTGCGAGACCTACGAGAGGATTTCTTTAAATCTAACGATGCTTCAGCAGAAGCTCTTATTTTACTTTCTACTTTTACTTTAATTGCTGATTCATTTTTGTTAAATTTCTTGCAATTTCCTGTTGTTAACTCATCACCAGACTTCAACTGATCAGGAATTCCTAGATTTTTCTTCCAAGGATATAAGGATATATTTCTTCTACTCGGCTTATCTTTTCGAGTCACAGCTGGAAAATATTGTTTCTCATTTCTGACTTCTTAAATATAGTGAGAAAATGATCGCCTCACCTTGTATAATCAATCAACGTCTACTTTGCAACTCAAGTCGATTCCTTTTTGGAATAACACGACTAATTCCGCAAGGAAATAACTGTTCCACAAAACACAGCCTCTTTTTCAACAAGGGTTGACGCAAAACCGTGCCTCGAGTCAGTTCGCTCAAAACACTCGCCTATTTTCATATCTTTTGTAACTTTTTATAATCGCGTGACAGGGGGTCCTATCGCAGTCCTAAATATCAAATCACTGTACCAGATTTCAGTTTCGCAGCGTCCTTCGTTGCGCGATGAGCCAAGTCTTACCACCGGAGAATCGGCAGGTAAATACCGGATGGTGATCGACGGGGCATGTTCGCGAGTGGATCGCCGCTCGCTCGCTCGTGCACGATGCAAATTCCACGGCAGTGGCAGTAGCTCAACCTAATTGGTCGTTGACCGTCGTGCCGCGGGGGTGATCCCTGTATTTACGCGTCGCCAACTGCGACAAACTGGAATCCTATTATTTTACGGTGGCGCTGATTCAGCGCAACGTGTAACTGGAGCGTATTCTAATGGCCGGCACCGCGATTAATTAACCGATCCCCTCCCCCCCTCCTCCTCTCTAGCGCCGTTTTCGTCCCTCCTTGGAACACGATTGTGTTTACCGCGGCCCACCGGACGATCGTTCTCCCCCCGCCCCCCCAACTCGACTTCTCGACAACACGATTTAGAGAGGAACCGGCGGATAATTGCAGCTATTAATCGTCGATCGGGAATCGTCTGATCTTGGAAAGGATTAAAGCGGATTGTTTTCGGCGGGGCGTGGTGCGAATTCCCCCGGTGCCGAATTGGTGGATATCCTAGAAATCTAGGCTAGTTTTCGGTTACGCTTCACACATAACGAAATAACGAGAACAATGACGTTTGAGAAAAGAAGAGAGGACATTGCGACGAACCGACTTGCAATTAATTGAAAGAAAAAAAAAAAAAACGTAAGAGTCGGGGGGAGAGGGGGAGGGGGGGGGAAGAGGCACGGAAGTGCGATTTCTTCAGAGAATCGAGCAAATGGACGAAAGACGAGAGACGAAAGACGAAGACTACGACGACGACGACGACGACGACGACGACGACGACGAGGAGAAGCGGATGACGTACGAAACGCGCGAGGATCCGTAACCGCTAATGTGTGTCTGGTTTCAGCGTCCATACTGCATGACCTCAGCGACATGCAGCCTCAAATAAACGCGATCAAAATAGAGCACCCGCCGTACTACTGCAGCAGCTACACCCCTCCGTCCGCAGCCACGGCAGCGGATCATGCTCAGCCAGCGGCTAGCTTCAGTGAGTTTCAAAACCTCTACGTTTCGTCCTTATTTTTAGTGGATGCACGCTGTCACCCGGTTCCGCCATAATCTCTCTTTCTCTCTCTCTCTCTCTCTCCCTCTCTCTGTCTGTCTCGTGTTCGCAACAGCACTCGCCTGCTTAAAATCGAAAACGTCATACAGATGCATAGTGCTTCCACGGATCGAAGATCGAAGGGAGAGAGAGAGAGAGAGAGAGAGAAAGGTGTGATTGATTGGGAATTAATGGGTTAATAAAGGGTGGTAGAGGAATTTCAAGTAGACAGAATTGGGATATCGTGATTGAAAGCGTTTCGGATTAAGAGGTTGCGTCAATCGGGGCGTTGCGATTCGAACGGGCTGCTAATTGGGGACTTTGTGATCACCCGAGTGGCACGAGTGGGACGCGTTGTAATCCGAAACGCCACCAGCCACTCGCCCGTTGTCACCCGCGTGTGACTCGATATTTGAAATTTGGTAACTCGAAATGTTCGTGTACTTTGGGACTTGACATTTTCATCGTTCGAAACGCCACGAGTCACAGGCTGTTGCGACTCGTCGTACCACGTATATATTTGAAATTTCAAATCTGGTAATATTCGGAACGCCGTGTATTCGAAATTTGAATATTGATTCAATTCGAAACGTCGTGTATTTGAGACTTGAAGTTTGATAATTCGAAACGCCACGATATATTAAACCACGTATATTGAAAATTTCAAATCTGATAATACGCGAAACGTCGATATTACCATAATCTGGTAACACTCGAAATGTTGCAATTCGAAGTTAAGATAAAACGAAACGCCGTGCGTCCGAGCAATTCTCGGAATTTACACTTTCCCAAATCGCAACGCGTTCGTTCGTTGCAGCGAACTATAAATCGTCGTGACTTGAACCAACGTATGAGATCGAGACAACGTTCTGTGCAAATCAACGTTCATTCCTGTTCCTGAAAGCATCTCGCGGTGACGAGTTGTGATTCCAAGTGGCAGAGATCGGTAAAGTCTCGCGTGTGTCACGTGATTGTATCAGCGGATGGTAAACGAAATCGGCTGCGATCTTTCGCGGATTTTCGGAAAGCAAAGCGTCGCGGTGCAATCGGTCGCGAAACGATGCGTCACGGCACGATGCACCTCAGCACGGCCACAGCCTCTCCTCCCCCTCTTCTTTACCTACACACGGACCTTGTTTACCGACCGCCACGGTCTCATGGTATTTTTTTTTTTCTACGCGTTTCAACTAAAATTAAACCTCGTTCGAGGACGCCAGGCGAGGTATGCGGAATCGTATGCGTTTCACGGGAACGCGTCGAACCGTTCGAGCAAAACACGGTGATTCTTACGTTGCACGAGGACTCAAAAATTCTCGGATACTCTGTAATTCTTCTTGTCAGTAAAAATCAGATTGGACTACGTGGGGCTCACGTTCCACAAGGCTGGCAATTTGATTTTCTAGGGGGAGAGGACGATTCGAGAATGAGTTGTCAGTGGTGAATTTTTTGCACTTTTTTTTTTCAAATGAAAATTTAACTTTCGCGCGTTGTGCAATGCCGTGTCGGTCACTAGTGACCGACACGGCAAATTTATTAAAAATTGAAAAACTTTGAGATTACAAGAAAGAGAAACGTCCTTCTTGTATATTTTGCTCTACTATTTCAGAAAAGGAAGAAGAAACTCGTAAAACATTTAATTCTGACGTGCCTAAATACGGCGAAGGAACGTCGAAGCTATAACAATTGGTTTGCCAAATGTTGACGATTAAATATCAAATATTGTACTTAGAATTGTTTCTTCATCGAAAAATATACGAACTTTTTCGAATTTCCTTGAAAGACAATCGAACAAAATGCGATTGCAAGATTTGCACACAAAGGAACGTTATCAGCCAATCTGGCACTATCAATACTCGTCGACGAATGGACCATTATTTATTCCCATTAGTAATAACGAGTTCGTAAGACAAACTATTTCGCGGTGATGACCAAAATTGAATCGAATTCACCGATTCTGGCTGTCCTCGAGTAACAACAAATTCCCAACGGTCATGGGTCGAGAGATTCTTTCTTCTTTCTCTCTCTCTCTCTCTCTCTCTCTCTCTCTCTCTCTCTCTCTCTTTCTCTTCCGTTCCGCGGGTTCAATCTCATCCCGTCGGCTTATCGCACGGTCCTTTGTTATCGGGATCTACTTTGCTCAGCGTTCTATAGATCATTTTCCCCTATATATTTCTCCCTTTCCCGTTCTCTATTTTCTTTCTATTCTTCGCTCCAACCCGGCTTTATCGCGCCGCGGCCTTTCTCTCTCTCTCTCTCTCTCTCTCTCTCTCTCTCTCTCTCTCTCTCTTTTAACTCTTTCATCGATCAAACGATAACCACCGCCGCCTCCCTCCTCTGTGCACACACGCCGCGAAACGGAAGTCACTGGATAGAGATGAAAAAGAGGAATAACTTCCGGCTGAAACCTTTTCGTACGGAGAGAGAGAGAGAGAGAGAGAGAGAGAGAGAGAGAGAAAAGATAGAAAGGGCCGGGAACAATAGGAGAACTCGCAAGTGCAAAGTGTTTTTCTCGCCGAGCGCTAATTTCAGGCGTCTCAACCTTTGACGATACGAATTGTGAAACTCGCCGAACATCGAAACGAAAGACGATGTTTCCAACCTTTTCAAACACTTCTTACCTCTCCTGAAGCATCATTCGCTCGCAAAGTAGCCCCCCCCCCCCTCCTCCCCTCCCCAAAAGCCTCGAATTCATCACGACCGTCGCTGCGACTTCACGTCCTCCTCCCCACCCCTTCCCCTCCTCTCTCTTCGGCCGCGGGCACGCGAGAGCGCAAGAAGTACAAATATTCGAGTCCGGACGGCAAGAAATACGGACGTGTACGAGTCAGATGGCAAGAAGACGGACGCGCGGCGGGGTGGGGAGTGGGGGCAACGTTAAGACTTTCCAGCAGCGAGAAGCACGCGGAAAGTTTCAGCTCTTTGCGCCGTGCTGCGGGGGAGTTGGGGGGCTGGGAGGGGCGAGAGCGGCGGCGGCGGATAGACGGAATTTACGGACGGAATAAAATGACCACTTTCTCAAGCAAAATACACACACACACACACACGTACACATGCAGAGAGGCGGAGCGTGTGCACTTCGTGTATGAGAGAGAAAGAGAGAGGGTTGGGGGTGCAGGAAAAATTCCGGCAATAAGCATAGCTGGACCAGGGCCAACCCCGTTTCCACCCTCCGCCGTCGCCGGTTGCTCCCTTTTTATCATACATACGTTGCCGCTTTATAGCGTTGCCGCGGGACGCCTGATTGACTGTATTGTCGTTAAATTAACGGCCGGCGTAAATATCAGCCGGTGAACGAAGCTAATTTTATTGGCCCCTTCCCTTACGTTCGAGCCTGTATGCAAATCCGTTAACCAGAACATCGTCTACATATTCTTCTTCTTCTTCTTCTTCTTCTTCCTCTTTTTCTTCTTCTTATTTCCTCTTTTTCGTTGTCGTCCGGTGGTTCTCCATCGGGGGGTGAGGCGTGTTTGGTGCCAAGGACGTTGCGGGGCGGCGAGGCGCGAGGTTCAAGGATTTCTTCGAGTCGCGGAAGTCGAGTCGAGTCAATCTAGTTCGCCGGGATTTATTGGATCCTTGAGCTCGTTTGGTATCACGTGTCGTTGGAATAATAATAATAATAATAATAATAATAATAATAATAATAATAATAATAATAATAATAATAAGCGACCAGTGTCGGAATATTCAGATATTTCTTTGAACGAGAGGTATTTTTACCTATGTTTTTTGTTAGCTCGTTTCTGAACTTTGCTCTTCTTTATTTATTATAAATGTAACTTTTGTTTTATATTACGTGGTCGCTAATTGTTTCAAATTGGTCACATTTGGCGTGTAAATGTCGTCGACGTGTGTATAGAAACAAAATTTCTAAAATGGCAAAAATGGTGAACTTCTTTGCTGAAACGAAAATTTTTGGTCATCGTTTAATTCTTTGGAAGAATATTTAAACAGTTTTTTTTTTTTTCAACGTTAATTACAGTGACACTATGCGTTCACATATAATACTATGTGCTGGATGATTTTTCTTTGTTCATGTGCATTATCTGATAACAACTTCATCAATTTTCTCTCCTTGAAAACTTCTCTTCTTTCGTATCTTTCATTTTTTCCCAAATTTCGAGAAAAATCCTCCACGTTTTCTCAATTTTTTGAGAGTTGAAAATTGAACTGCCATAAAACGGGATACAGTTCGGCGATGCATATAAAATTGAGTGATGTGACACCATGCTCCAGTTTATCATCTTCACAGAAATGGCAAAAATTGCAGAACGGCACTACTATAGTTATTCGTTTCAGGTCATTTTTCGAACATAAACTTTCAAATGATCACCCATGAAGCTCCGATTCTACGCGCACTTTCAAAGTGACAATTGAAAACGTCGAATCATTGTTGTTCTGGCACCGGGCCCACTTTGCTAAATAAGTGATGATCGAATGATTGTGTTTCAGTTATAAACATAGTTTATTAAAACCATTTGTATGTTTATCGTTGAACTATTTTTAGTAATAAACTAAAAAGTAGCAATTGGTGATAAAATTGGTAATTATAAATACAGTTTATAACTGAAAAACAGTTTAATAATAAACTATAGTTTATAACTGTATACTGAACCTAACCTAAACCATTAGTTATAAACACAGTTTATTACTAAAAAATAAACATAGTTCATAACTAAAATATACCATAAGTATTTAATTATAAACGTAATTTATTATTAAAAAGTAGTAAAAATTATGTTTATAATAGTTATTATTAAAATACCATAATTTATTACTGAAAAGTAATAATTGGTGATAAACGTAGTTACAAATACAGTTTATTGCCAAAAAATAATTTAGTGACAAACGTAGTTATAAACACATAAAACATAATTCAGTAATAAACTATAGTTCATCGCCAAAAAATACTTTGGTAATAAACCTAGTAACTTACTATCCCCATCAAATACATAATCATCAAACGAAACAAACCGCGTCGATATAATCGGACCGAAAAGTAAACAAACGCGACAACTGAGACAAGTTTTTGAGACGGCGGACATTATTATCGCGTGAATTATTACTAATTGCTGTGTACATTGTTGCTGAATGATGTTATAAACGGTGCGTTTCTGTTCGACAGGCCCACCACCGGTGCATCAGCTGATAAGGAACGACAAGACTGAAAAGCCCCCCGCGGTTTCCGTGTCGAGCGCGCCGACATTCTCGCCGGTGCTCAGGCCCGAGGATGGCCACCGTGGAATGGACTCTCCGCACTCGCAGACCGGTATGTGACCGATTGAGAGCGCAGCCTTGTCGAGATGATCTCTCACCTAAGGCCGCGATCGCCTTTCCTTGATTCAAGATGGCGGCTGGAGCCACGGCTGCTGCCACGGCGCTCCAGTTGGAGGATCTCTCTCCTAAAATAACTTGACGAGAATCGAGTGAGAGCGATTTGACAAGATCTATCGATCGAGCGAGTGTGATATATCAGAAATAACACGGTACAAGAGATAAATTGAAAAAACTTTTTTTTTTTTCGTATTTTTTACAGTTTGCTGTTTTACATTTTTACCGATAGTCGGTAAATAGAGTCGAGAGATCCTCCGTCAGCCAAGATTAGACCTGTTAGTAAAGCGCGTGGTAATTTTTACGCGGCGCGGACTTCGGTTTTGGGACTTGAACGGATAGGAAAAACATTTCCAGAAACTGGTTTCAAATCAGTTTTTATCGCAGGATCTCGTCTTTTGTCTGATAAACGACAGAAAGTTCGAAAGAGTCCCAAAACGACGTCTACGCGTCGAGATTCACTCTTTGTCCGCAGAAAGGTATTCTCAGCGATTCCGTTGAGAAAAAAAAAAAGAAAAAAATATAAGAATACAAGTATTACATCTTGGAAGCGAAGTTTTCTTTTTTAACATAGCGTTTGATTATGGGGAGTCCACTGTGTAAGTACTCTGCATACCGGAATGCACACTCGCTAGACCGGAAGTTACGGCCATAATACACAGAAAGAACACTGAAAGAGACTGTCCGAACACGAGAATCGCTATTTCTCGCGCCTTCGACACCCCCCCACCCCTGAAACCTCAGCCCCACCTAACACGTATCTAACATTCCCTCGAATTGTTCTCTCACATTGTTTTTCTGTTCGTCGTTCCCTCCCCTGCGGATGTGAAGTTGAGAAGTCGATCTCACAGAAGAGATCCTCGGACGCGAGATGTCGCCTGTCCCCTGTCCCCTGTGTCTCTCTCTCGCGCTGCAGCAGCACTGTGCCCGCTTGTTTTTTTTTTTTTTTGCCTGACGAGTTCGCTGACTGACGTAACCCTAACTCGTGGCTCTCACGACGAGCAGCCAGCCGTCGAGAGAAAACGCGAGACGTACCACGGAAGAAAGGTGCGAACGATTCGGAACGATTGGTTCCGTTTTCCCTGTAAGGTTTCCTCGCGAGCGCCGGTTTCTTCGTTGAGCTCGGTGCCACGGTGTGACGACACGAAATGAAAAAAAAACACGGCGACAGAGTATATTTGGAAATTGTACGTTCTAGGCGAGCTAGATCTACAGGGTGATACGTTTGGGTATCTTGTCGAATGGCGACGATGCAAAAGATATTTTTTTTTCGTTTAACGCGAGTGGTGCTAAAAGGCCAATAATTGGAATATTTTTTTCCAAAGTCTACTTTTTACAATTTTCAGGATCATTGGTGTTTTTTTTTTTTTTTTCGTACGACTGTGTAGTTTTTGGATAAAGAAATACATTGCACGCTGCAAAAAAAAAATACGTAGTTGCGTTATGAAAGAAGAAACATTAATGGCTCGTATGGAAACAGAAACAGCAATTGAAAGTTCCGAGAAAGTTATCTTTGAATGAAAAAAATATTCTTAACCAAAAATTATTATAAAATAATTTTTTATTACAAAATAAGCTTTCAGTGCCATTCATTAGATAAAAAATATTTTTTGCGTCATTGTAATTCCCTGCCTCCCATAAATGAACCATCCTGTATAGGTTAGAATTATCCCCCAACGCTGCAAATGTCAACTACTGAACCGTACTGATGAAACTCGATGTAGCGCAGGAAAAAGAAAAAAAAATGAAAGACATAATCGTCAGGAACCTCTAAATAAATTCACCCTGTATCCATAAATAAATTAACACTTTCGCGATGGGGAACGTAGTCCTACCTCATTTCAAAATTGGCGCCATTCTTAACCTCAAATACTTACATATTTTGCAAGTGAAGTTTACGCGAATGTTTTCCGATTATGAATTAGAGTCTGATAATAATAATAATAGAGAGACGGACAGCGACGTTTAATTTCTTAAAACTTTGAACAACAAACTACAAGCATCACACTGTAGTATCTGTTATACTCAGACGATATAGGGTGGCCACTGAGAAACTGAAGGACTTTGAAAAAGTCATAACTCGTTCATTTTCATTCTTTTTCATTTTTATTTTCCATTTTCTTTCGTAGGTTATAAAAAAAAATACTGAAGAAAAGCGCATAAAAATAAAAGTATAGAAAACAATACTTATGTTTCCAAATGAAATAACAAAAAATTGACAAACGTGTTTTTGCAAAGTGTTTTATTTTGCTTTGTCATCACTCGGTCTTTCAGTGACCACCCTGTCTACCTACAAATAGAAACCTAACCTAAATCTTGCAGTCAATACCTCAGCTACAAACTTTTGAATATTAGAAAAAGTCACAATTCGTTCATTTTCTTTTTTCGTAGGTTATCAAAAAAAAATGCTGAAGAAAAGTGCATAAAAATAAAAGTATAGAAAACAATACTTATGTTTCCAAATGAAATAACAAAAAATTGACAAACGTGTTTTATTTTGCTTTGTCATCACTCGGTCTTTCAGTAACCACCCTGTCTACCTACAAATAGAAACCTAACCTAAACCTTGCAGTCAATGCCTCAGCTACAAACTTTTGAATATTATGCAATATGTATGTCGTATTCAGCTGAACGTATCCCCCCTTCGCGAAACTGTTGAAAGTCTATGAAATCGGCGACACTCTGGTAATTCGAGCAAAAAAATTTGTAAACAAGCGTAAAGGAACTCGTCCCGTTCTCGGTTAGTTAGCAAGCATCATCGAGATGGTGTTAGTATCGAGAGGCGTCGGATTTATTTCGGTTGCCCCGTGTCGCGTGTTCAGTGTTGTCATCGATTCTTCGCGCGGCTTCCTCCACTTCTCCGCGCCCCTCCCCCCCTCTCCCGGCGGCGGAAGTGTTTCCGCTTGGCGGTCAGGGGGCGGCGAGGAGGACAGTTATGCGTTCTTAACGCGGAACCTCTCGTCGCACCGTGCGCCGGGCTTTCGAGTGCATCGTCGGCGATTTGGCGCCCCGAATGTCCAGTGTGCGATAGACCCAAACTCTGAGCTCAGTCCCGCCCCCCTTCCCCCCTCCCCCCTACAGGGCGTCGTGTAAGTAAAAATCGATCGGCGAGGATCGCTGGATCTCGATCCCCGGATCGACGCCCTCGCTAACCTACTTCGGGCAACCGCGACGCAATACGAAAATTGATGGGAAACTGGGTTAATTGCCTCTCTCTTTTTCTCGTTGACTTTCTCTGTCTTCTTCTTGATTTTTATTTTTTATTTTTTTTTTTCTTTTGGAAAACGTAAACGCAAATCGGTAAATTCTTTGGAAGTTCAAGAACCCCTCGAACTGACATTGGAACGACCACCGTACGGTTCGAGCGCTGGCGATTTTAAATTAGGGGGCTCGGGAACTAGGTTAGTGGGGCTGGCGAAACGAGAACCGTGTCCAAGTAACGAAACCGCCCGGTCCCTCGGACGAAACGGCACGTTCCCCCGAGGGTTTTTCGACAAAGACAGAAAATCCAAGGGGGAATTTGCGAAAACCACGAAATTCCTCGAGAATGGCTGAGTGGTTTGTCGATGAAAGTTTAGAAGGAGGTGGGGAAGCCACGAGGAAACGGCGGAGAGGGGATCGAGAGAAGGAGATCCGGAAGTTTCCGATCCACCGGATCGATGGCCGCGCGTGCAGCCTTGCAAAACATGAACTGTGAACGCCATGCTCGCGTGAAAATGACGCGTGTGATGATCTCTGTTTCAGTCTGAGCCCGAGCGTAGAGAGAAGCTCGCTAAAACTCGACTTTAAAAGGTACTTTGTGACTGGTTATTGACTGTTCTACATACGTAATCTATGCATACACATACACACACACACATATATATATATTTATTTATATATGTGTGTGTATGCGTGTGTGCGTGTTACATGTATCGATGTACATACATATAGACGTGTACGCGTGACACGCGGTGCACGCGTGTCGTGTGTGTGCACGTGGGGGGCTATCGACGGGCGAACGTGCCGTGATATCTGCGTGCATTCGTAAGGGAGTCGTGAGAATCGTTTTTCAACATTCGATTTGAAAGTGTAAAAGAGCCGATAAGAATCGTTCTTTCAAAATTTCGATTTGAAAGTGTAACAATTGGATCCAGATTCCGGGAATCGTAGAAAGCGTAAAGTTGAGCGGAGGGATTTTCTTTTTTTTTTTTGGTTTCCAAAAATTTTTCACTGCGGAATTTAAATTTTTTGAATTTTGGATTTTCAATCATTAGACTGCGGGATTTTCTGATGCTGCAAAATCACACTTAGCTTAAAAAGAAAATATAATTGAAACAATCGAGCCGAGGAATATTGTTTCTCATATAAAATGTTACAGAGAACACTATGCTTCGAATATTTTATATTTTTATACTTCCGTGTGTCATGTATATACTGCTGTATTAACTTTATATATTACATATACTTTTATTACACATATTAGTATAATAATAGTAAATATTAGTAATAGTATTGTAAACAAATATTTACATATTTAATATATATATATATATATATAGTATACTATAATATAATATACTTTACTATAACATACTATATATAGTATTATATAGTATAGTATATACTAATAGTATAATATACTATATTATAGTGTAATATATACTATAATATATACTAAAATATATATTAGGATTAGTATTGTAACTGTACACTTACATATATATATAATATACTATAACATAATTTACTATAATATACTATACTATACTATACTATAGTATAATATACTATGATACTATATATTATTATATAGTAATTAGTATATACTAATAGTATAATATACTATACTATGTTTAATATATGGTTTAATATATACTATAATATAAATAATATTATGTTATATATTATAGTACAATATATACTTTTATATATTATATGTTTTACACATTTTTTTCT